ATTGAACAAAAGTATACAAAATTAAATATATATATATATATTATGTAACGTTACAAAAGAATATATGTATAAACGAGTACAAAGATCACAAAGACATAATACGATAAGAAAGAAAATTGACTATATTTCATTGATATTATGTAAATTTTTGTAATGTTTGTTACAGATAAAGTACCATTGTATAATTATATATTTATACGTCTTAGTTTTTAATTTAAAATTATTTTTATTTAAAAATTTAATTTATCAATTTTATTGCTTTCATTTCGAATAAAATGCATATACAAAACATGAATCGTTGAAATAAAATCATATCCGTGTATCTTATATTCCTACATAACAATATTAAATTTTTAATTACTTTGATTTTCCTTTTCGGATCATAGATAATATTAACGTTACGTTTTTTTACAATAAATTTTTACATTTTATTTAATACGCTAATATTAATACTAAAAATCACTATTTATCGGAAGAAAAATTACATGACACCAAGACAGCGACCGCAGTTCAACTTATAAATAGATCTATGCAACTTATACTACTTTCTAGTTCCTTCTTCCTTTTATACAGAAAGACATTGTATTTCTTCTAAATTTATCATTGAGCATTATTAAAGTTAAAAAATTGAAATACGAGAAAATGTGTACATGACTATTGAAAAATATTAAATTCTAATAATTACTAATATCTATTCGGACTATCTACTATTGCATATTGAAAATAATTTTACATAAGTAAAATTTTTAAGTAATTTTATTCATTTTGATTTCACTAATTTTATTATTACAGTATTTCTGTGCCTATAAATCGTTGATTATTATAACAATTATACTGTGATTTTGTCAATTTTAATTTTTTAAAATAATGTTATATTATTACGTTTATACGAGATGTTTATTCAAATTATGATCCAAAGGGATTAATTTAAGAATTGATTTAACTAACGAAATTGTTAAAATTATTAATATCGAAAGATGAATAAATTAATCAGCAGAGATATGATGAAAAAATTACTAGAGAATGAAGAAGAGGTTCATTCTAAAGAAATAATACATCTTTGATAATGATTTTAAAATGAATCTCATTTAATAGGAATAAAAAGAAACTTATATATTTCATAAAGAACCAATCAATTTGTATGTATCTTAAAATTTAACCATCATAAGTAAAGATTCTAAAAAGAATCATAATTAATACAAAAATATAAAAACTATCGCAAAATCAGGAACAATAACAAATGCATTATATAAAGACATACACCGGAGACTGATGGACTTTGTGTACAATTATTACTATCTAGTTTTTCTTTATATTTAACTATTAACGACATAAACATAATTGATATGATATAAAATACAAACATAACTTATTATATAAACTTAAACAAGAATCAATCAAGTAATTTAAGATGACTTATCTTCGACTTTAAGGAGGGATTGTATTTTCAATAAAAAATAGTTTTCTATCTATACACTTTACTACGTTTACTTTAAAGCCCTGAAACAATACCAATGGAATATATACTTATAATCTAAATCGTCTGTAAGTCAGGTTTTATAAATGACGAATAGTGCTGTTAAATGGGTTGACTTTGTTTAAATGTAAATGAGATTTAAAATACGATTCGTTTCACAAATATGTACTAATTAATATTTCCTCATTAAAATATTTCTGCAACAACAAAATCGATATTTATAATTAGCAATTACCTATCCATTTTAACGAATAAACTTCGATGACTAATTTTAAAAATCCTATAAAATTCAAACATTTTAAATATGTATATAATATACATATTTAATGTATTACAATGAGCTTTGTTATTCTATTCAACCTGACTTAAGTGACGTGTGGACTTTTGACTTATTTTCTCATCTAAAATCACATATCCGCTATTTTTATCGAATATGAGTAACATTTCGTTTTACGATTGTATAACGATCGACCAAAGATCATTTAAAAAATATTCGATTGGCATTATCATGACAAACAAACAAATAAAATCAGGAAAAATAGCATCGTTTAAAATACAGTCTTTCTTATGAATCGAATTCTAAAACAATAACGCTATTAATCTTTTGTACTCAAAGAAGCAAATGTGTAATTTGTTATTGCAAATTGATATTTTTTTAAGATTGCACGTTTATGAATTTTCAAAAAATCATTTGCATTCTTTCATTATAATTCGAAAAAGAATCTCTTCTAGTCTTCGTACAACGTGAATTTTTTCTGAATTTATAAAATTAAAATTATAGCAAATCTTTTGATCCTTTACATTAAATACACTTCGAATTATTAATTCCTCGAGTACAAAGGATTAAAGTTCTTTAAAAAAAACATTCAAAAAATATTTCAATTTCAACAAAAGGAAAAATTCATATTATTTTTCAACACTTAAATTATTCGCTTTATAATAAAGCGCGCTTCTGGCTTTGAATTATAAAATATCAATGATTTTTTCATGTTTTTATAAAATTTCTTAAAGTATGATAATTTTGTTTTTATAAAATAATATAATTTTTATAAAATAAAATGCCACTCTTTAAAAAAATTGTTTTCGATATTTTTTTTTTTTTTTTTTTTCTATTCTACCCCTTTTAACGCGTTAAAAGGGGTAGAATAGAAAAAAAAAAAAAAATTTTGAAAAAAATTTTTTTAAAGGGGGGCTTTTTTTTTTATAAAAATTATATTATTTTATAAAAAAAAATGCCCCTCTTTAAAAAAATTGTTTTCGATATTTTTTTTTTTTTTTTTTTTTCATTTCATATTCTATCACTTTTAACGCGTTAATAATATATAAATCGCAGAAATGCTCAAGTTTATTCCTGGGGCCTTGAATAATTAATTCCCAGGAAAAAACTAATCGATTGTCAAACAAATATAATATTAAATATAAACGATTTTTCTAAATATTCTTTACTTTCTCGCAAACTTTCCTTTATAATAAGCGATATGCTAAATGATTTTCTCGCTAACTATTCATTTTCAACTATTTAAATTTAAACTGGAATTTAACTGGAAATTGCATCGTACGATATAATATAATTATAACTTTCATGCTTCATTATATAATCGTATATATCTGAAAAGTTTCGTACAAGCCTCGATTTCAATATGTTTAACACGTTTCAGTTAAAATCTCAAATATATAACTTTCATTATCATTCTCAATCATCGATTTTATGCTTCACATAAAATTTAACCGATGAACACACATAAAAATTTGATCTATAAAATAGACAAGCCAGAAACGCTAAATATTCTTCGTAATTTTTCCGATAAATTTCAAATTAAAGATAACATCTTTAACTAATCCTACGTAAAAAAATCGAAATTAAAGTGATCGTATATTTAGACCTCGATCCACGATACCACGCAACGATAAAAATCCCATTTTAAAATGCACTTCTACTTTTGTAACGATTGCATCAAATATACCCATTCGTTCAAAAGCATCTCTCGTTTCAAATCTCTCCAACCCATCTTGCTTCTTCGACTTTAAAATTAATTGATAGCGTTAATCTTAATCCATCGTTGCGCATTCTCGTGTCAAGTCCACATACGAACACGTCGCCTCATTCATTTCTCGCTTTAATTTTTTACATGAAAAAAAATAACGCGTGCGCTGCACAATTATCTTTTTCGTTGAAATTTCATCATTTTCGAAAACGACCATCTCCTCTTTAAAAAAAAAAAAAAAAAAAAAAGAACAAATCGTCGAAACAAACTATGTACTCGTGCACTTGTTAATGACTCGTTTGCGCGTAAACCCCTATCTCGGCCTCGAATAGGATCTGATTGATCCTCAACTTTGCCACCGATCTCGAATACGAATCCGGGATCTCGGCCAATTGTACGGCGATACTCTCCGCAAACTTCGCGAACTCCTCTTTCGTTCTCTTGCGCTCGTCCGACGTGGCCTCGAGTTTTATCTGCCCGCTCTCGTCCAGATCGCAGATCGGGCTGTTTTGATTCTGCAACGAGCCGTTGTACAGTTCCATCGCCTTCAGGCTCGACGACGACGATTCTTCGGCATCCTCGCTCAGCGAAGCGTTGAACGAACCAGTTCCAGATCCGTTCGTCTCCTCGTTATAATCCGTGAACGTTATACTTTCAGGATCGATGTCACTCACTATGTACTCTTCTTGCAACTTTGGCGTCTCTTCATCGACTTTCTACGGGGAAAAAGAATATGTATTTTCCGTGTTTGTTAAAAATACAATAATACAAGTATAAAAATATATTTGTATATATAATTGTATTAAAAATACAATAATACAAGTATATAGAATATTATCTATATTCTAGTATTATAGTTCGTGTAGTTTCGGTAAAACTTGAAAATTTGATTCAATATTCGTGCACGAGTAACCGAAAATGCGCAGCAGAACGATATTTTCTAATCTTCCGTTGAATTGCGGTTTCGTAAATTTTTTGTAATTCAAGATTCGTCTAAGATAAGACAGCAAGCGACCTCTTAAAGAACTGTTTTTAATTATAGGTTGGGAACCATTGGTATAGAGAAAATATAGAATTTTGTTTATTTGGAAATTAGAAGAAAAAGAATTTTGAAAATTCACCGATTTTCCTACTTATCTATAATTTATCGATCAAATTTTATTGTAGAAGTAAAATTTTCAACCGATTCCTATATTTTTTTAATAGCGAGAAATAAACTCGAAAAATATCAATGTTTAATTTAATTCCAAATTTTTGCTTGTAAAGCAAATTTATCGTTTCGGATAAGTTGTTAAAATTGTCTTGTATTGTAATATTCCTTATTATTATTTACATATGTGCATAATTATAATATAATGTATTTTTTTCATAATAATTTTTTTTAAATATATTTTGAAATATAAGAATCGAGTAAAATTGTAGATATATAGAAGGTTAATGGTATATATTATTTACAAAAAAGAATTTTAGTCATTTAAATAAATGTATCTTTCAATTCTATAAATAAATATTTTAAATTTTCTAAAAATAACAAAAAAATAACAGATTTACAATTTATTACGTAAAATTTATGCATTTAGTTTTTCCAAGTTTCGTTAAAAATGATTTATTTATTACTTTTTAGTTATTATTTATCATTAATTGCAATATAATATTTTAGATATCCACATTAATTTTCTTCGCGAATTTCACATATATAATTTACCTATGAAAAAAATTTTACGAGAATCCAGAGAAAACTTCGCATTCCTAATTATTGTAACAACACAGCAAAATTAATCGCCGATTCACTATATATATTTACTACGTTCACATTCACACGATTCAACGTTAATCTAACATTTCGATCTTTCGAGGAAACTCTGTATTAAAAACTTTCACGGGAATATATTTAGGAATCTGGAAAAACAATGTCTGTACTATCTAACATATTTAATTAAAAAAAAAAAAATACACGTATTAATCTTTAATATGTATCATTTAAAAAATATAATTTCCACGTTAAAAATAAATTGTCAAACATAAAATTTAATATTTATTTAGATAAGATTCGTCATATATTTTAGCCTTGTTTTATTTTATTTTCGTATGCAAAGATACTAAAAACATTTTGGAAAAAAAACTATCATGAGAGTAGGCACACCTAAGCTATCATATATATAATTCAATCAGTCTCTAGAAGAATACCAAGAGAATGTGACGAGAGATAGAGAAAGCAGAGGAGGACAAAGGCGAACGACAATAAGCGGAGCAAAGGAAATGAGACGAAGAGAATCAAACAGAAGTGGACGTAGAGTGTCAGAAAACAAGCGTAGAAGTTATCAAGCTAGAAAAGAAATATGATTAATCGAATAATAAATTAATAATAAATCGAGTCATGAATAGTATAGAATGCGAATTATATACATTCCAAAATTGATTCGAAATGCAGAAATTTCGAAATGAAAAATTATTATAGAAAGAATGACACATGATCACGAATCGAAGAAACATGTATCTCGAGTAACGAATAACGCGTCGTTCAAGCGAGGCGATCGTTTCCACGAAACACATTCGGACACAATGGTCTTTCTTTAAAATTGCTTGACCAATTATGCGATGGCGTAAAGTGGCCTCCTTACGATTGGAGAAAGGGAACTTTTACGAACGTTCTGTTCATCATCGATTTTAAAATGAAAGAAAGAAAAAACAAAAAAAAAAAAAAAAAAAAGAAAAAAGAACGATAAAATTTTCTTATGTCTTTTTAAGAAGAATAAATTAAAAGAATGAACAATGAAATAATTAACAATTTCGTTCTTAATACATATTCATTCTATTAAGAACCTGCGACACGTGGGAACAAGATATCTGTCACAACTAGGTTTCTCGTGCAACGAGGAAACGTGTATATTTATATTCATAATGAAAAAAAGAAGGATCTATAATTGATTACCTACCTTCTTCCTCTTACTGTATCTACGTGTACCAAATTGCAGAAACTGCATCGCCTTAAAGGCGAACCACTTAGATACGTAAACATCGTCGGGCCCGGTAGCGGCATCGCGGCTATTCTGTATCTTATGAACTTCTCTCGAATACTGACACTTTAGATTAGTGATCTTTTTCTCGATTTCGAGCGTGTTGCAACAAAGAATCTCGGCGAGTTCTTGAATCGCGCGTTTCCGTTTGGCTCGATCGCGATAACCACGAGTGTTCCAATCCCAAAGGACGCGTCTTTGTTGATACTCGCGCAATAACTCGAGAGTCTTGTCGCGAGTCCACTCCATGCCAAGTCGCGTGTCGTTCGTTTCTGGTTCGTTCCACGCGTCGTCGCTAGACATGGAAAACGTATGAGTGAGTACGGTGTTAAGGCGGCGCGGACACACTGGGCTGACGACGATCGTTTTCTCCAAGAAATCGTGTGCCTCCGTGGGCCAGAATCTTACGGACGGATGATGAAGAAAGTTAAAGGCGGGTGGAGGTAAACGAGCGAGGAGCCGGG